GAGACATAACTCTGAACATTGACTTACTCAGATAATCTTGAATTGGCAGGCGTAAAACACCTAAAAAGTTACCATTTTGTATAATTTTAATTTAACCCTCCTTATAATGAATCTGTTGGACCGAAGGTGATATCAATGGCATATGTGAAGTAAATTTTACCAAAACATTTTCCATCCAATTATTAGTAAAGACTTACTAACTTTCGGTCCAATTCGCTTTTGGGTTAAAACTTTTTAGAAATGTCCGAAAGTAATCCTGGACTAATATACGTCTCCCGTTTTGGTGTGTGTATTTTTAGTTAATAATATATCGTTGCAGGAATAAAACCAAAATCGATTTCTGAAGTGTAAAAATATTTTCCTGTTATTATAAACTTATGTATAAAACACCAAAATAATCAAATTCTAAATAGATTTAAGACAATTTATCCTGCAGTTAAGCTCATTATTTTAAGTTAACAATTTTGTACAAATCTATTAAATATTTGTTTTGATAAATTTGTGTTCATTTTCTCTAATGCCATCGTCCAAAAAGATTAATTAACAAATTTGTGATGTGAATCCCCTTGTCATAAGAGGAAAAAAATACTACCTAAATACTAAAACTTTATTAACCAATCTGAAGACTTAACGATAGAAGTAACCAGAGAAATAAACAGCGAAAAGAGAGAGTGCTGTAAAGAACGGTATGGAAAGCACCAAACTTCATTTTCACCCTCAAACCTGGGAAATAAATAGAAGAACCGGGTGCTTTCGAACCAATATGCTTGATAAATACACTAGATAGAAGAAAAGGGAGAAAGACCGCCAGTATGGGTTTAGAAAAGGCAGATCTGCCATAAACAGGATAGTAAGGGTGAAAAGATCATGCAGGGCTAGGTGGACGGTGGCACATTTCCTGGACATCAAGAACGCATTTACAAAAGGTTATGGCAACAAAGTCACCACAGTTTTGTAGATAAAATAGACGTCTAGTGAAAAAATAGGAACACATTCTTATAAGAAAATACTTCCAAATTCCAAGCTGAAAATGAAAAATCGAGAAAATGGATTTTGTACGTAATTTTAAACACCTACATGCAGAATCAGAATGGCAAATGTGGAAAATTAAAATGTGAGATCTGTTAGACTACCATGAAGGCTGCTTAGATGTGATAGATGAGTTAGTGAAACCTGAACCTGAAACAGCAATACTGAAAGAATCAGCTTTTGATGCTTTGCTCACTCTAAGCAACAGTTTAAAGCCTGATCCAAAGATCAGTTGTTGAAACTTTGCTCAGATTTCTTTTCTTTGTCGTGGAATGTTAGAGATGATGTCTCAACAAACATTGCAAAGTTAAAACGGATTTTTAATGAGCTGAATAACGGACTTGAAATGAAGCAACTAAGTAAGGTACCAGATGTAATTATTATACAAAAATTATATATATTTTACCTAGTTAGTATGAAAGTCTAGTTGGATCTATTAACTGAAGATAAAGACAAAACTCTTGATGAACTAGCTTCTCAACTATGTACATTAGAAAGAAATTTACCAAGAATGATTGTCAGGAAGATAATATCAATTCAGAAGCTCTAGTGGCTTATCACAAACCCACTACATCCAGTTGTTTCTGCAATTACTGTAAAAAGAAAGGACATTGGGTCAAAGTTTGCAGAAAATGGATAGTTGATGGACGACCTCATTGAAGACAATGCAATTTCCTTGCTGCAGCTGTATAATGAGCGATGGGGACATCAAGATGTGAAACAAGTGCAAGGAAAGCTCAAGAGTGACTTTAAGATAAATGTCAAGCTTGAAAGATTGCATGTGAGCCCTGCATTTATGGTAAAGCCCACCGTCTTTATTTTGGTACAAGAGATGCTGTAACTTCACCTGGAGTTCATGTCAACTGACATACGTGGTCCATTTGAAATATTTAAAGATTTTTACACCAAATTCCGTTATGGATACCTGTTACGACAAACATCAAAAGCAAAAATTGTTTTGAACATTATGATGGCCCTTGCCAAAAGTCGAGGACGTAAGATTAAGGAGTAGTGATAATGGTGGAGAATTCAATAATGAAGACCTCCGAACGATTTTAAGAGAACACGAAATCACTCAGAGATTAACCGCTCCGTACACACCTGAGCAAAATGGTTTTAGTGAACGAGAAAATCGTATTATTGTTGAAATGGTCAGAAAATAGAGGTACTCTAATTCTGAAGGACAGTTTCCTGAATCTTTATGGGCAGAACTGGTTGGTACAGCAATTTATATTCTGAATCTAACAGGAAAGTCAATGGTAAAAGAGAAAAATCCACATGAGCTATGGATAGGTAAGAAACCTAGAATAAATCACCTAAGAATCATAGCTCCAACATGTTATGCAAACAAGAAAGAAAATGGACAAAAGGCTATTTTGTTGGTTATGATGGAGAAGATAGATACAAAATTTGGGTTAAGGAAGAGAATAAGGTATTCTTGCCAAGAGATGTTAAATTTTGGGGAAGACTAACTGATATATGAAACTATATATCCCAGAAAATTCTAAAAATGACAATAAAAAGCCTTCACATCTCTTATAGAGAAAAATACCCGGAAAGCAGTAAAGTTACCCAATAACGCAAAAGCATTGTCATGTAAACGAGTGTACAAGCTCAAAAACAATTCCATTGTGGAATTGGGTTCCATTGATTGTTACAAAGCTAGACTAGTCATTAAAAACTTCTACCAACGAGAGGGTAGAAGACTCTAATAAAACATTCAGTCCAGTGGCTAGATCACTTATACAAAATTCAATAATTGTTTACTAAAACTAGAATTTATAGCAAGTGAGGCTAATTCATGTTTGTATGAGACACAAACAACAAAAAGATTATTGCTTTGTACGTTGTTGACAGCTTTAGTGGCAGCTTCATGTAATTTAGAGTTAGAAAATTTAAATAAAGAGTTTAGGAAAAAGGAATTTAAAAATAATATACCCTAGTCTTTGTGAAAATTAACTTTTATTGATAAACTACAATCGGTCAACTACGTTTACTAGTTTCCTTATTAGATGAAGTCCATTGGGGACATGCAACGACCCTTAAGGTCAATTCAGACACATCAGTCACGTCTCGTCACAGTGATTGCGCCGAATCGGACAATCCGTCATACAAAATATTCTTTAATACAAATATGTTGCCGGCATTCACACTCATCAGTTGACAAACAGTTTCCCAGCTGTCAGATAGTTGATAGTTCTGTGACCAAATAGGACCGGTTCGGTACCGTGACTGATGTGTCTGAATCGACCTTTAAAGTCGATTCAGACACATCAGTCACGTCTCGTCACAGTGATTGCGCCGAACCGAACAATCCGTTATACAAAATAATCTTTAATACAAATATGTTGCCGGCATTCACACTCATCGGTTGACAAACAGTTTCCCAGCTGTCAGATAGTTGATAGTTCTGTGACCAAACAGGACCGGTTCGGCGCCGAGACTATGACGGGACTGATGTGTCTGAATTGACCTTAAAGGTGGATTTTCACAGATCCGATATCCGATGACACGAAAAATTTTTTCGTACGAATATATTTGATTGTCGTATCCGAAATGTTTTGACATATATGTCATGTGTCAGACTATTGGATGGGGATGGATTGATATTTATTTCAATGAACTGTCAATAATTGCACATGAGCACATGTTAGCTTTTTTGTTATTGAGCATACACAGACAATTTTAGTAGGGAATATTGAGCTATATTATCATGGATTTGTCAAATTATTTGTTTGAAGAGGATTCACATGTGAGTTATTGTTAGAAGTACCTAAAAGCTTATAACTACTGTAATAATTGAATTGTTTTAGGAAATTGAATGTGAAGTGAGACAGGAAGAAGTGCCTGTGGAGGAACTATTATTTCAGTGTGTGCAGGCAAGACCTGCATTATGGGATTGTCGAATGACACTCCAAGAAAGGTCGAAGAGTATAAGAGAGAAGCTCTGGACAGAAATTTTTGAAGAGTTTGGTAACAATCCCGAATTTTCAATTGAGTATCTGACAAAAAAATGGAGAAATCTGCGCGATACATATATTAGATTGAAAGGCGGGTATACACCCAGTGGATCTAGCGCAAAGAAAAAAAAAGAAGTGGGTTTACTTCGATTATCTATCATTTTTAAATGATAGCATTGGCTATAAACCAACTGTGTCTAATGTTAAAGTACAATCAAAAACATGATACTGACACAGTAACACACAACACTGTCAAACAAAATAAAAATGACATTGAAGTAGCTTTGATAGATACATTACAAAAAATTAATGCACCTTCACCCACAGTACCAACACCAGAACCTGTTAACCCAATATGTTCACGAATATCAGACTTGTTAAATGTCATGCCTCAAAAAGAACGAACGTGTTTAGAAATAAAACTACTAAGCATTTATATCGTATCATCGTACCGTCGGATATCGGACCTGTGAAAATCCAGCTTAAGCGTTTAAAAAATAACTACAAACAAGATATTATTATAACCTTGATCATCATCATGGAACATCAAATAGGTTAGTTATCTATGACACAGAATAATAAACAAACAGAATACCCACTCTCCACGGAAAATTAAGTACGCGCATCTCCTCCGCGCAGACGTTCCGCCATGTTTTAGGAGGATTTTAAAGAAATTAGTGTTGTTTATGTGGAGTGCATGGAAAAATTAACCAGGTTTATTTGACTTACGGCAATCATAGACATACTATACAATTATATTAACATTGTTAAATATAATAACATAAATATAATATAATTAAACATAAATATAAACAATTACATAACCACACAAATTATATGTCTGTGTCCTCCTAAAACATGGCGCGCTTGCTGAAAAACTTCAAAGGCGGCATCTGAGAGTGGCCCTTCTGATTGTTTATTATTCTGTGTCTATGATCACAAACACAGATTATACATCCTACATGTCACATGTCATATTAGTCAACTTCACAACTTCCTTCTTTGACCGTTAGTTAACAGAAGAGAAGCTAACAGTTGTACCGATAAAATTTTTTTAATATTCAGTTTTTATAATTATGTCAGCAAATAAGGTAATGGCAGTTTATTATTTGTAAATTTCTAAGAATATATTTGAAGTTACAGTAAAAGAACAGATAATATTATAACGTAGATTTGTAATAATCTTGTAATACGAATAAAATACTAGTCATCCAACAACATGGCTGACAACGTTCCGGTAAATAGTACAAGTGGAAAAGCTAAAGAACCAAATCAAGACGGGGATAAGGAGGAACAGAGTCTTTCATCCAAACCCAAAATGAAAATATTTGTTAAAACCCCGAAGGAAACAGAATCATTTGTCGTTGATGAAGACTGCACAATACAAAAGGTATGTTTCAAATATCATACATAACCTATATGCAATAAAGATTTATTTTTTTTTTCAATTTTAACAAGATATATCCATAAACGTCTTTTGCTATAATCGTTTTATTACTAGAGGGATAAATATGGATTTCAACAAATTATAGAACAGATATTTCAGGTTGTTGCTGGGTTGTTTTGTAGTTTTGGCTGCATTTACTTAAGTTTATGTTTCATTGTGATTCAAGACAGTAGGAAGTGTTAGTGGTTCCTTGTTTATAGATTTTGTGGGTTCTTGTTGGCATTGGAAATTTGTTTTTGAAATACATTGTTATTCCATTTTATTTGCCATTGCATCACTAAGTCATGTAGTCATCCCTAAGGTTTTGTATGAATTCAAACTCATAATATGTTCAGACATTGGGGAGCTAGTATAGTATAAAATTAAATTCTGGTTCTCTTGGTTAGTTAGTAAAAGTGCTTCAACAAGGGATATCATTAACATTTTTAAAATCAATCAATACAGAAGCATTTAATTTAAGAACTTATTCTGAATGTTCTAGATGACTAATAAAGTTGAAGAATCTTAATTGTTGCAGTGTTTGTTTGTTTTTATCAAGATAATTGCTATATGCATATTTTAAATGTGACACATGTCCAGAGATAATCTAATCTCTTTTTGTTGATAGTTTCTTGTGTCATATCTATTTCATATGAATAGTTTATATTAATATTAATATTCCTAATAACTTTAGAACAATTATAATTCCTGTTCCAAAATTGCTCTATTAGATTTTGATTTACTTACTTATATTTTATAAGATAGGGCAGGGTGGGGTAGATTTGGTCATTATTTTTCAGTAGGGTATTTTCAAGATATTTTAATAATCTATGACAGATAATAAGTCAATCGTTGTATCTGTTGTCTTTGAATATTTATCAATGAAACTATGAATAAACCAGTCAAACATAGAAAAAATACAAATTTTCTTTAACACTGTATTTGTCCAATTGTACCCCACCATGGGGCAGATTTGTATAGCTGTGGGGCACATTTGAACCATTCAGATAAACATTTGTCCAAGCTTTATAAACAAAAAATAATATATTACACAAAGTACTTACGAATGATATTTATTGGTTATAACATGAACATATTTGACAAAGAAGTTATTTAATGTTGTAAGGGAAAAATGAGGTATTGAACTTTATGTAAGATGCTAGACGAGATGTTCCCTTGGTTTTCACAGGTATAGGAAGTTTTACCACAATATCGGCTCTGGATATAGTGCTAATATCATTTTCTGTAGGATAATAAAAGCCACTGTTCAGTTTGTATCGTAAAAATTTGTTTCTTAGTTCCTCATCCACTAGTTCTACACATCCCACAAAGTGAACAACCATTTTCTTTGTTGCAAATTTTACCAAAACCAAGTCGCCTACAAGAATCTCTTCATGATGTAAAAGACCATTTATTGCCTCCTAATCACTGTGCACATCTATACCAGAATCTGAATTGCAATCAGACATCATAGTGCATATGTCAGATTCTGAGAAACTAGAGTCAGATGATTTTTTCTTTTGTCATTTTTAGCCTTCTTTTGTGCAGGTTTTAATATTCCACTATCATTAATTTTTCTTTTTACAACTTTGACTCATTTGTCATTCCTTTCCTTCTTTTCAACTTCTACCCTATTCTTTTCTAGTGTACTAGTATATATGCATGACCTTCCCCTTTTTCTACCACACCTATTCTGCTTTGGTTGAAATGTACGAAATGGTTGAATATCTACTAATTTTGCATTTTTAGGAGATTGTGCTATTCCTAGGTAAGAAGCTTCGCTGAAAATATTTGTTAGCACCTCTTCCACCAAGTCCGTAATAAATTCCAGACTATTATCTCCCTTCATAGGCATTTTGGGGATTTGTGTAAGAGCTGAATTGTTTATAGCATTTATTTCAAAATCTCCAGAAGGTATTATTAGTGCAGGGTTATTTTCCACTTGTAAACTTGTGGAAGGTCCTTAGGTGAGTACTCCAGCAAAATCTGAATCGTCAAAATTAAGACTGTTTACTGACCAGATTCCAGCTTTTTCGAAAGCCTTTGTTATATTAATAGGAGTAAATGATGGCTGGACTGTCAAACTTGCAATGTCGTAGATCGTTATTGCTTTGCCAGGGTTTGATAAAATGAAGTCATTGAAGGATGACTTGTACCTAGCTTTGAACGGGCCGTAAACTCCAATGTCCAGCGGTTGCATCCTGTGTGTGCAGTCAGATGGAAAAGAAAACATAACTATTCCGTACTCTCTGCAATAATTAATTGCACCAAGTGAAACATGAGTCTCGTGGTTATCAACAAGTAAGAGAACAGGATTTTCACAAGTACTATGCATACATTTGTGAATATGTTCCAATAATTTAATAAATACGGCTGTTGACATCCAGTCTGATTTTGTTACATACCTAACTGCACCAGGAACACTTCCATATAAATAATGATGTTTTATTCCTACTCGCCGATATACATATAATCGTGAAATAGTTATACTGGTGGTGGTTATAAGTCCACAGAAAGTGACGAGCGTTCCTCTTTCTGATGAAACACATTGACCCACTTGCTTCTTGCTGGTTTCTGATATAACTCTTGGTGCTTGCATGACCATAGAAATACCAGTTTCATATCAATATTAAATATTCGATGAGGAGATTTATAATTGACCATAACCTCAGAATAGTTTTGAAAAAAAAGTTCAATATTGGCTTTATTAAAACCGGACGTGCGAGCAATGCTGACATTTTCCAGTTTTATATGACAATTTTGGGTGGCGTTTCATGAATGAACGCATCCATTCGATTCCTGACATCTGATTTTCGTCCCAAGTAATCTGAATATCCAAATATATCCTGGATATTTTTTATTCAGTTTCTTCGCATATTGAAATGCTAATATTCTAGCATGTTTGTAGGTAAGTCAAAAATTCATTGATGAAGATTTATGTAGATAGGCTTCTAGCTCTACTTCTTCACAAGCAGTAAAAACTTGACGAGTTGAATATTTTGAAGTTGAGGGTGATTCTGCACTAACAGAGTTATCATTTTCATTTCCTGAATCTAACTCATTGGCTGACCTCTTTTTCTTGACATAGAAGTGAAGCGTAGATTTGTTTATATTGAACATTGCTGCTGCATTTCGAATTTTCTGGCCATGAATGATTACTTCATTTATGGCACTAGCCAAATCTTCTGTTGAAATCTTGGCTCAATCTGTTTTGCGTTTATAAATATGCACCATTCTGTAAAAAACAAAAATTTATATCAACACTCCATTATAACAGTGAGTTTTGGTTTAAATCTATTTAACGGATTCTCAAGAAACATTACTTAACAGAGGTTATGGTTGCCAATACACTACACTGATCCAGTCAAGCATAAACAAACTGGGCTATTTACACCAGAGAAAAATATTTACACTCTTATGAATACAAAGCGTGAATACTTACATTAGTCGTTCAGTAATTTTTCATAATTTTTTCACCAATTAATATCATGTTTTACCCTGACGCGGTAACTACACACCAAAATACATACGCTCTGAAACGGAACTAACTTTACGATGCTTTTAAAGCGGTAAAATATATTATATTTGATATATGTTATGTATGATATTTTTCAGTTTTAAGAGTTTTGGTTTTTTCCTAGTATTCTACTCTTTCTTTGTATTTCATTTGCTACTTTTTAGTACTTCTTTTCTGTGTGTATTGCCTGTGCAAGTTTTTTCATTTGTACAAATAAACTGCAAGAACATGATTGTTTCTCTCATGTTGTATGATTTCTATTGATTATTATATATGATAATATTACATTTTACCATTTTTATCTCATTCGTATCACACTGTTAGTGAGTCTCTTTTTTTCTATTCTTACTTTTCTTATAGAACCTAGGGATCAAAGAGAAATTAAAACAAATATTTTTATTTCCAGTTGAAAGAAATGATACAGAAGAAATTTAATGCAGAATTGAGTCAGTTGTGCCTAATTTTTGCTGGAAAAATTATGAAAGATAATGAAACATTGACTCAGCTTGGAATCAAAGATGGCTTCACAATTCATTTGGTAATAAGAGGTGCTCAAAGGCCTGCCAGTACTGCTACAACAACAGAAAATACTAATACTCCACCTGCAGGTAATTTATTATATTCATATTCAGAAAAGAGTCATTTGATAAATATTGAAAATATGAAGTAACAATTATATAACTATTTATTGGAGGATGTTGAGCTTATGATAATTGTAATAATGATAATCAATAATTTTATACTTTTCAATTACTACTAGTTGTTTTTGGACAAAATCTTGGTCTCCACTATCAGATTATTTTTGTCAGTAGACATTTACTCTTTTAGTCACTAGATACCTGAGTAATTTTTAGGGGTCTGTTTTTAAAACAAAAGGCCTACCTGTAATAAAAAAAAAGGATAATCAACTTCATATGATTTCGGTTTTAGCTTTAATCTAAATATTTTTAATTGATCTTTACATAGTTACTTTAAGGCATTTTATTATTTCATTCAGAATAAAAGACAAAGTTGTTCCTGTCAGTGCATAAATAATAAAATAAATTACAAGTAATTAGCATTGAATTTATAAAGAACCACCTTTTGTATAAATTAATATTGAAAATGAAATATAATGAAAAGATATAAGCCAAATTTCACTAATTGAATGGATGCCTATTTTTCTTGTGTAAAACTGATTGTGTTTCCCACTCACAAACAAGCTCCAACTTCATTAAAATTTTTGTTTCAAACATTTTAATAAACAATAGTATCCACATACAGTAGATCTGCTGGATCTTTGCACATTGTAGGCATTAGTATTATAGGAAAACCCTGTGAGCCAAACTTACATTGATTATAAGAATTAGAAAATGGCTAATATTACAATGGATGTTTTTATACTTCTCTTTTATTTAATTTATTTCATTTTGAAAACTGGGTATACATTTGTGAATTTTCCAATTTTTGATATCTACAGGTTGTCCAATAACATCTACAGTAAATAAATATTTAAACTGTAGTAATCAGAAATAAAAGTGTTTTTATTGCATATAAGCAAATATATGAGTTATTATCTAAAAAAAACTAAATAGGAATCTATCTCAGGGATCCATCTTCTTGATCATTTTGTTTATTCATAAACTAAATTGAAAGCAATGTACATACATACAAAAATTAACACCAACAAAACTCAAATAAAGAACCCTAGGTATAATATATTGAAAAAAAGAAAAAATTTGAGCTGGGTAAAAAAAATTTATTTTAAATCTTTATTTAAACATTGTATACAATGATAAATTTAAGATTTCTTCACTATCAGAATCTGAGCTCCTCATATTACCAGTGTCTATTATAATTGGTTGAATGTTAATGTCAACCATATTTTTTTTCTAATATATATCTGTACCCAGGGGGTAAAGGACACTATGTCCATTTTCTTACTTTTTCAGGAGAGCAGCTTTAACATTTTTTAAATTTGTAATGAGTAAATACTCAAATGTTTCTTAGATTTAACCAAGATTAATATATTATTGTTGTTGTGTATATAATTGTTTTACCTTCCATGAAGTCTTATATAACATATAACTTAAGTTTACTGTTCATTTTATAAAATTTTTTTTTAAAATGTGTAGTTGGACATAGTGTTGTTTACCTCGTAACAACTTTTTTAAATAATGTGACATTACATGTTAAGGTCTCTATGAAATAAACAAGACAAACTTATTGAACAGCCTATACTATTATTTTATTAGAGACAAATATAATGTTAGAATAATTAAGTAAAATTTTAGATGGCAAGTCTCAAAATTGTTAAAGAAGCTCCATATCATCTTCATCTTTTTGGGCTAATCGTTTGTGGCTACATTGCTATGTGCTAAATTTTAATAAAACCCATGACAAGCCGACGGAACAAAAGTCCTGAGACTTAAATTAATTGTGCTGGAAATGTTACTTGCTGTCTTCCATACCTCATAAAGTCGACCGCATATAAATTTTGATTATTGAAATCTACTGAAAAATAGCACATTATAATACTTATATTTTTATTTTGTCCATAACAGTTATCGGTCCAAACTACCTGAAATTGTATTGTTAGCACATTTCAAAATTGATGTGGCAATTTCATTTGCAGCACAGACCCCTTTCGATTCGTCCCACATCATATATTGTACAGAGGAATCACTGGCATCATATGTAAAATTTAATGTCCAAACATTTTTCAATTAGGTCAGCATCACGATCATCCAGTTTACTTTTTTAGTTCATCTGTAGTAAGATTCTTTTCAATTAAGAGGTAAATATTCTGTGTATCACAAGTGTGTATTTCAGGTGGTTTAAACAACAACTTGGAGTATTTAATAAAAATATCTGCATACAACCACTTTTTTTGCTCTTAGCTTTGGATCCACATGTCTTCCATTACATTCATTAATGTACAGTTAATACACCTGTTTATTGTAAGTTCTGTCCAGATAATTTCTCTTTCCCCTTTCTCTAGAATAATGACTCTCGTACTTTGGAATGAATTGATATATTGATGTATACTATTTATGGTTTGGTAGGAGTTTTATTGATTGGCGTTTGTCTACCTCTTTGATTAGCTTTTATTAAACTTCCTAGCTCAATTTTTTTATACATATTTACTACTACACTAAATTAGATATACAAAGTGTGTTTAAAAACATAACCTTACACACCTTCAATCGCTGACTCTTTACTGTAACATTGTAGTGTAGTGTATTATTTTTAGATTTGGTAGAGTTTGTGTCTCTTGTCAACACATGAGAAGATAAATTGCTTTTTAACATCTGAAACATTTGTCTCAGTCCAGTATGAGTTGAAGACTTTTTGTCTTTCATATTCTGGCAATCTTTCAGAGCATGTCATGGTAACATCATTATGTTAATTGGAATTGCCTGCATCACTGCTTAAGGATAAATCGTCTTTAAGAACATTTTGTGTTATTGTCTCACTAGTAGTAGGAGTAGTAATACTTTTCTCTTTTACCTTTGTTTTCGCTGGTTTACTTATATGTCTCACATCATTGTTGTCTGATTCTGTCCTTTCACCACTTAGAGGCTCATAGGTTTTATTAATATCTGCATCATCATCTCCAAACAAATTATCATCTTGGTCAAGATCCATCTGTCAAAAGAGTATAGAATACTAAATATTTGAGGTTCGCAAAATAGTAAATCAGTGTTTACCTGTAATAGCTTACCTGTAGTTGTTGTTTCATTAAGAATATTATGACAGTAATTGTAGTATTCTTTTTCCACAAGAGTTCGGATCCAGTTGCCATTATTAAACAACAGATGTATTGAACAACTTTTAACAATCTAACACTATTGCGAACTAAATAAAATTGTTACAATTATTTTAGTTCATGACAATTCCACCGGTGCCAAGGTACATACTACTATGTCGGGATGGTAAATAACAGTGCACACATTTAGTAGGGGTACAGATATCACTGTCTAATAATTTCATGAGTATGTCTTACGAATTAACATTTTTCACAAATTTCTATGTTACATTAGGTTAGTGTCTCTTTCTACATATTTATAACAGGGCTATCAGGATGTCAATCCCTACCAACACACTAATTGTAATATGACTTGGAGTTTGCATAAAATTAATTCAGTAGTATTAATTTCGCAGTGATAAGGAGGTAGTCCCAACATTTCATGGCCTTGTTTTCTTAGTTTCTCATCAATTATAATACACATTCTCTTTCCTGTTAATTTTTTAAATTGGTAATAATTTAGGTTTTGTGAGTTTTGCCTCTTACTTGATCTTGTTTGTTGTGAACCAGGTAATAATTTCCATTCTAGTTGAAACAGTGGAAGGTGCTTTTCTAAAAATTGTGAATTAGAGTGTTATCTCTCACAATTAATGATGGCTCTTCTAAATTGGGAATTATTTGTTCACTTATCCATTTAGTGAAAATTTTATTGTTCATTTCCCAATGATAATCAGCTACTTGAAGAACCAGAGTGAACAATTATAAAATCATTTACCGTCATATCCTTCTGATTTATATACACTTTTAATGTATTCTGTACTGCCATTTTTGATCCCTCAGATAGATTGGTTGTCTCGTTTTTCGAACTAGGTCTACTTTGGCCTAGCTTTGAAAGAATATAATTATTTTTTTTCTTTTTTATAATTGTATATATTGTCTGTCACGATATTTTTAATGTAGCAGCTACAGTTTGCAATAATTTGCAGTTCCTGTGGCAGGTGATACAAATGGCCTCATGACTTGACATTGATTGTTTCAGACTATAAATTTTATCTTATGTGACAATATTTCATAATATGTTTTAACTGTGTTCACTTTCTAAATTGTTTTAAACTGTAGATAATTTTACAGTTTAATACCAATTCTTGGATCTTGTATGTGAACCACCCCTGAAGTTGACAATTTTTTGTATGCTGTAACATAAATTGATACAGTATTAAAATCCGTAAACTAATTTTGGATACCAAATTCAGATTTTTGCTTTAATCTGTGTCTTCTAAGAATTACAAGGCAAAACAAATATTGATAAAGATGTTACTGATTATCAAATCTTAACTGTCTTTTCCTTTTTATTCCGATTTACTCTTTATGAGTACTAGAAACTAATTGTCTAAGAATTTTTGCTTACTTGAGGAGATATGTTGTGGAATTCAAATTTTAGATTCCCCATGTCTCTAATAACATCTTTATCAACGCCTATTTTGCCTTGCAATTCTTAGAAGGCACAGATTAAAGCATAAATCTGAATTTGGTTTCGAAAATTAGTTTACGGATTTTATATTAGATGTCGCTATTGGAGTCCATTCGAAGCCATGTTAGAGTTGCTTCCTAAGACAGAAGACTCTTATTTTCACGTTCAGAGCGACTGTGAATTGCCGTTCTGAAGAGGCCTATTAGTCCGAAATATGTATAAGCGGATACACAGATGCACTATACGTGAAATAAAATCTTAACTATCTTTTAGATAGAACCAATTTTCAGAACCGTTCAACAGTTGCCGTTCTGAAGAGGCCTATTAGTCCGAAATATGTATAAGCGGATACACAGATGCACTATACGTGAAATAAAATCTTAACTATCTTTTAGATAGAACCAATTTTC